TATAAAGTGTGTTGTTTGTTATCGATATTGCAAACGTATTAACTGTGAAAATTTTGTGTATTATAAAGTTGTATCGAGAAAGAATAAACTAATTTTATTTAAGAAAGGACTTGTGTCGCTGAAGTTGTATCGAGAAAGAATAAACTAATTTTATTTAAGAAAGGACTTGTATCGCTGAAGTTCTTCGGAAAGAATTTATACCGGAAATTAACAAACGACCAGATACGCAACAATAGCATATTATGTCCAACCTAGCTGATTAGTTCTGATATTGAACTGAATGGCCTCCAGAATAATATTTATAGAGAAGGTATGTTTATCTATAATAAAGTATTGGAAAAATATTACTATTTAAAACATGCCTCTGCAATTCATGGTCTGAGACAAAATCAACCAACACGCTTTAACATTTTATAAAGATTTATTTTATTTTTTGATGTTGTTGTTAATGATGAAAAATTTGAATGTAAACGAACTTGCGATTGCACAAATTCAGTTTTCAACGCTTTACATTCTCAGGTTTTAACGAAATAGTGAAAATGAAACAGTGGTCAATAAAAATAGTTAGACAGTAGTCGATTTTATTCAAATATTACTCTATTAATAAAGTGTGTACTATCTCAATTTAATTAAATTAACCCAAATAATTTTACCAGATTGATCAAATATTTTCGTCATTAGTGCATACTCTCTGTAATATCATATTCGTGGAATATTTTTCATAGTTGTTTGCTATCAAATAAGTAGTTTATAATAAGTTAAAATATGTTATGATAAATTAATTGTAATTTTTTTTCGAATTTTTTGAGTAGATGCTGCTCAAAATGCATTTCGTTCTTTGACGTCACTACATGGTTTCAGAAAGACTGCGTAGAACTGAGCTGGCATTAATGTTGTTTTTATGGTGAATTCAGTTCATAGACTGATTTTAAGAATTGCTCACGATTTATTAAGTTTGAGTTAGCAAAATAAAATTAAACTTTAGTGCTTTATTAGTTAAAAAATTCGTTTAATTTTGGGATGTCTCGACATGAAGGTGAGGAACAACATAACTTAAATTATAAGTTAACCTGACCTGTGTTAAGCCTAACGTTATTCGTTAATCAAGGCTAGGCAAAACGGTAGTACTAGTTGGAAGAACATTACATTATACCAATTCTACGCAATAAACAGTTAACTAAGAAAAGCTAATATAGCTTAGGCTGTTAACTTAAACTCTTCTAGGCATAGAGAAACTTAGATGGTATACTTTTTTAATTGTTATTTTGACTTTTGAGTTTGAATTTTCGTCATGGTCGCATGATTTTCTGTGAGTCAGTGAGTGACAGTTTTGAGTTAAAATTTAAAAATAAAGAATATATTAAGTTGGGTAAAAGTTTGAAATTATGACTAATATTATTAAGACTATATTATTGTTAAGAAATAAGTTTTAAATCTGGATGTCTTGATTTCATTAATTATTAGTATTAGTACAATTTCTTTAAATGCAAGTAATTTCTTATATTGTTTGAAAACAATGCCTCATTCTTTATATTATTTTTTGATCAATATGACTTTACTAATGTAACCATAACTTGTATTACTATCAGTGTGAAAAATGTGTCCTACTTATCTATAAATTAATTTCTAAATATTTCAGTTAGTGGACAAAACGGGTCTGAACCAAGCTTGTGTTTGAACTACAGAAAATTGATTGGATAGCGACAACATAAAAAAGATATAATTTAAACTACAGAACATTTGGAGTGAATGTACTTCTCATATGCAGGTCACTTACCCGTACAGATCGGGAGAAAGGAATTTGCCTGAAATGTTGCATAATGTATTTAATAAGATATGTTTGAGAACGTTGTCAATATTCAGTCAGCTTTCTTCTTTGTATAATACATCATTTTATTTTGACTATTCTGACAGAAGGAAAGTCGGTTACTTGTATATTTGATGTATTCAATGAGTAATATTTAAACCCCAAGAAACAGGGTTACATCACGAGGGCTCAGATTATAATATTCTTTACAGATCTTGCCCAAGACTTTTCTCAGAGATTAATTTGGATGTTACCTGTGTTTATTCTATTATTTCAAAATTCTTAATGTAGAACAAAAGAAATTTAAGATTGATAAACTTTTTTGTTCAAAGCTCTGAATTCTAGGTCTGTTTGCCCTTTGTTGTGTGATGTAACCTCAAAATTACATATCCTATTATAGGAACCAGAGACATTGTCTTTGACATTGTTTTGTTTAAAATACTTTTCTTTTACGATGTTGCTAATCTCTATCAAATTTTATATTTTGATTTATTACCGTTTATCTATAATTTTATTGTTTACCACGTTAACCACAAGAGATAGTCATCGGTAGCTTGCCATCAAAATACTATTTATATTGTATTGTGTCTGGTAAAAATTTTAAATTTTTAGTAAATAATTGTTTGCCCTGTTCAAGGCTTGAATCTAGGACTTCCATTTTATGCTAGTGCTCTGAGACGGCACTTTTCAAACTGAGCTATCGAGACCAGAAGCCCTAGTAGATAACTCCTATCTTCATTACTAACTTATTTATTTATATATATCTCTAACAGTACTTGTAAATACATCCTTGAAGAAGGATGAATTTAGGTCCAAAATAATGAGTGTGACAAAAAAAAAAGTCACTTTTAAAACTACTAGCAATTAAAAGAGACAAAGGTAGCACTTAACGCTGTCGTACCCAGTGGTTTTGACTTTAACTCTTCTGCAAATAAGGAGGTTCTGTTGTTTAGAAAAGTGTAGAAAAGTAAAAATTGTGAAACACGCCCTCTATTTTTCGGGAAATGGCAACTCGTACCATAAGCCGATCACCCTGTTAGAAAAATAAACCTTAACGGAGTCTAGCCTATACTTGCATGTCTTAAACTTGTTCTTTTGATCTTACTGTTTTAAAGATATAGCACAAACAAATCATAGTCTTTAAACCAGTTGAACCCCGCAGATAACCTTTTAACCTTTAGTTAGACCAACTCTTACCCTTTTATCTTGAGGAAAGAAGATGAGATCATGACCAATCCCTGTAAAATAGCTTCTTCGTCCCTTGAATCAGCCTAGAAGACCCTCCTCTGAACCCTTTATTATAAGTAAATACTGTATTATTTATTTAATTTCTTTAGTTCATATTATTATATATTATTTTTAGCATTAAAATGTCTTTTATACAACAAATTATCAGTTATGGCTTGTGTTTCTGTAAACAAACTGTGAAATCTCCCGTGTCCAATTAAAGAAACATAACATTATGGTGTTTTAAGGTCACTTATTTATAATATTAAAGTTTTATATGTGACGTATGTTAATGATAAAGTTGTTTAATTAAATTAAAAAATATATATATATGAAAAGTCAGAAGAAACCCTTGACTTCAGACTTCAGCCACAATAATTTAGAATTAAGTTATTACTTTTTAATCCTAAACTTTGTACATGAGTATGTATCATACGTGTATCATAACTGCATTGTTTTAACATTAGAAATAAATTAATTTGCTTACCGGTGACCTTTTACAACAATATTGTTGAAACTTTTCCAGACAGTTCACTATTGTTTTATATATTCATAAGGGTTTTTAGGACAATGATGGGGTCTTAAGTTTTGTATCTGTAACTACGAAGTTACTCAAATGATTTGTAATCAATAAAGGGAAATGAATAATTATAAATCATTTATTAGGCAAATGAGCACTTAGACGATGTAAAAACCTAGTATTTTTGGTATTCTTCAAGAAGCCTAAATTTAGAGTCAAATAATGTATAAATTAGAATAACAGTGATTTATTTTGTAAAATAATACTTTATAGTTACAACTTTATTTCACAAAAGATTTATGGGGATTTTGAATCCTATTTAATTTATCATATAGTAACCTAAGTTAAATTAAATATGTGTACGATATTATGGCTTGAACCTAATTTATTAATCGACATTATACAGTGGACCAACTATGTAATGATTATATATATATTTGTGTGTGTGTTAATTTTTTTTCTTTTTCACCAAAGGTAAAAATTAAAATATCAGCCTCACGAAGTTTGAAAATCATAAGGAAATGAAAAAGAATAAAACTAGAATGCTTATTTAGGTAATATAGCAACAATGTTTAACTCTCCACAATAACTATAGTAATGTTTCCTTTTTTTCATTAATGGTGTAATACCAGTTAACTTATTAAACATTAGCTGTGTAACAGTAACCAAATTTTCAATATCTTCCACACGAAGGAAGAAACAGTATTTGAATAAATTGAATGTATAGTCCTGAAGAAACCTTAGAATTATGTTAAAATGATTAGCTCAGTCAGTTTCTAATACTGTGTTTTCAAACGTTTAAAATTAGAATTAAATAATTTTAATTATTCATAAACATATTCAAGAAAAAATTATAGCATTTATTAATTCCTTTAAAAAAATGTGAAGATCTTGGCTCTCTATGCCTGCTTATTCAACATTAAATAATATAGTTACCGAATTATAAGTTAGAACTGGTAAATTTGCACTTTATTTAACTTGAGTAGCCATAGAGTTGGTGGAGGGTGCTGCCAGCCAGTTGCTCTCATTGTAGTCAGAAATAATAAAGACAAAATGAATAAATTCAGTGATAATTTGAATTGAACAAAATTCATGAGCCCCTCCCCCCCACCAATATGTAACTGTGTACTCAACAGCAAACACATTGGCAATATTTTGATTACTTGGATTGTTGGAATAATTGAAAACAAGTAATTAGTCATAAACTCTAATTTTGATTAATTGATAATTTTTGATCAATTGATCATTTATTTACAAAACACTAATTGGTGTAATTGCTGCTGATAGATAATCAATTATTTTGACCTGCTCTCATGAGAAAGGCTGTAAAAATGCCATTAAGCCCCTTTTTCTTGTTAACAAAAACTTCAGTTATGTCATAACTTACCTTCGAGATATTACATTTGTCAGTACCATCAGATCATATCTGACATATAACTCTTCCCTGGTTTTCTTTACGCAGTCTTTGTGAGACGACTTGCAACCTTATAAATTCCTTTCTCATTTAATTATGACTCAGTAAGAGCAATGCCATCAAACTTCTCTCATTTAAATCAGTGAGACCAAGTGTAATGGATATGGCTGGCCTGTGCACCCATGGTTATCATGAAGTTAGGTGTAAGGAACATCGGTTGGTATTGAGAGGTGAGAAAGTGGCCAGATTTGGTCAGTCATTAATCCTTGCTGGGAAGTTAGGTGTAAGGAACATCGGTTGGTATTGGGAGAGGTGAGAAAGTGGCCAGCTTTGGTCAGTCTTTAATCCTTGCTGGGAAGTTAGGTGTAAGGAACATCGGTTGGTATTGAGAGAGGTGAGAAAGTGGCCAGCTTTGGTCAGTCTATAATCCTTGCTGGGAAGCTAGATGTAAGGAATATCTGATCGTATTGAGAGAGGTGAGAAAGTGACCAACTTTGGTCAGTCTATAATTCTTGCTGGGAAGTTAGATGTAAGGAACATCAGTTGGTATTGAGAGAGGTGAGAAAGTGGCTAGCTTTGGGTCTTAGGGAGTGCCCAAAACTGGGCTGCCTTCTCACCTCTCTCAATACCAACTGATGTTCCTTACGTCTAACAAGATACATAGTATTTTCTGTTCTTGAAACTATGCAGTGACTCTTTTAGACTTACTAAGTTACATTTCAACTTTATCAATACTAACAGGCTTGTCATAGAAAGGTTACATATTTCAGACAAAATTAATTTTACGACAGTATTTCAAGCTAATGTTTCTGTGTTCTGTAAGTAATAAGTAATTTCTTGATTGTTATCTTTATTAACACTGTTGGTTGGTCTATATAATATATCTAATTTTATTTATTATACTGTTAGCTTAATATATGTATTTAAGACCAACCCAAATATACGCAGCTGGGCAAACATCGTGAAATATTATTGGGATTATAGCTGAAAATATCAGTAAGAGCAAGGGTATCTACCTGGTGAAACAATGTACTTTAATATTTATAAGTAGGAACATAAAAGTATGTTTAATTAGGCATATACTGATCGGAAGTTAATATTAACATCATTCGCTCCTGTGTGTGCATTATAAGTACCGAATTTGTTTTCAATCCTACCACATGCATCACCAGTAATAACGTTAGCACTTGTTTGATAAATTCTGCTTTTAATTCTCTGCTGTGCTTCATTGATAAGTAACCAACCTGCATACATAATTTGTAAATCCCCGACAACAAACACTTTTATTTTTTCTCTCTTGGAAACGGCCACTTTCAAAACTATTTTATGCTTTTACCTGTATCTGCCTAAGACTATCTCCGATAGCCCAAACTTGTCGTACCATAATATACCTAGAATTATCCTTCTTCCTATCATTGATCATCTGTAGTGGTTTCTAATTCTTCTTTTTTTTTCACATCCATAACTTTGTCCCAGCGTACTCTTTTTATGCGCGTCTCACCCAGTGGCTAAGATGTAAGCTTGAAGGCTTATACCACTAAAATTTAGCAGTTTTCCCTTCAGCTCTAGGAAGCAATACCACCGTTTTACGTCAAGCCACTTTAAACTACAACTTAAGTTGTCATTAACAGAAACAAATAACGTGGTCTTTACACAAATCTGGCTTAATTTACTCTTCTTTTTTTTTTTTTTTATATATACGTACGTCACAGTATCATACTAGTACTGCTGGGCCTTGTATCACTAAATCTCAAAAACTGTGTAAACAAATGGCATATCCTTTTAATTCCTGTACATGGATGGTACCAGGCCTTGTTTGAAGGCTTCAGGTGAGAAAGAAAATAGTGTGAAATACGTCTTCAGTTTGTCCATCGAAAAAATGAAGCTTAGAACTGTTTCTACAGAAAGTGTATGATAAGTTAAAATGGCCTGAAATGTAACTGTATGAGTAACATGACTTAAGATTGAATGTCAATATTATAATTTTATATATTTTTTAGGGTGGGGTTTCATATATGGTTTCTAATCTATTACGTCTGCAAATAATCTTTTTCTCTTCGGTGACTTCAATAGGAAAGGAATGAAGAATTTTTTATTTTTTTTTCCCCATATTTGCAATAGCCTGAATTAGCAGCACAAGATCTCTATGTGAGTAACTTATAGGTTACCTTTTTTTTTTTTTTAAGACAGGTTTCTTCCTTGTTGACTTGTGTTGCTTTTGTGATAGGTGTGAGCTGTGATTCCTGCCTGAAAGGAAACTTCAAAGGGAAACGATACAAATGTTTGATATGCCATGATTATGATTTGTGTGCCACGTGTTATGAGGCAGGTACAACCTCAAATCGGCACACAACCGACCACCCTATGCAGTGTATTCTGACTCGTTCAGATTTTGGTAAGAAATTAGTTAAAAATTACACCAGTTAATAGTATATTTAATTGATACATAGTCTTTACTGAGAAAGGTCTATAGTATATATATATCTATACACATTATAAATAGACTTTAGTATTCTTTTTCTTGGCTTTTCTTTTCAAACAATAATGCATGATGATCACTTTGATTTATCTATGTAAATAACAAATATTGTAACATACAACAATGTCCACTGTCACTGTCACATTATACGGCCAGAGTGCTTTAAATTTGTATGATCAGGAGTGTAGATTTCATGTTGTCCGATTCTGAGTGACCTAATATAACAAAATGTCTCAAAGACGAAATGTTTTACTATTATACTTTGCCTGTTTGACAAATTGTTTTATTTGTTTTTTTTATAGAAAAACATTGGGTAAGCCAATTCCTGAATATTTTGAACTGTAAAAGCCTATTACAATCACATGAATATTTAAAACTGTTCACCTTTAAATCTCAAAATCTATACACAAATGTCATATCCTTTTAATTCATTATGCTTAGTTACACATACAGTAAGAAATGCAGTGTAAAAAAAAGATTAATGAATTGCAAAATACAGAGAGTATTGAAAAAAATGTATCCATAATTCACATCTTATGAATCAATGTTATAAACATATTTTCGTATTGTCATTTTACTTAAAATCAATGCAACTGCTTACAAAAACTGTCTGAAAAAAATAACTCGTTTTAATTTATTATTGATATTATATTAAGTAAATATTGTAGATACAAATTTATAGAAATTCTGCAAACAATTGGGTCATTAGTATATTTTATCCTTTTCTTAGTGAGTGAACCCCATTCTTTACTGTTAAATAAAAGTTATGTTTTATTTTTTGATGTGTCTTGTGAGACAGTGAGGGGGGGTTCAGGTAGAGTTTTTCTAGCATTTTTTCCCTGGATAAATTGTTTGTTTGTTTTTCTAAAATTCCTCACTCATGGTGTAATGACTTATAACTCCAATGTTGAATTATATTTTTGTAAGTAGAATTATTATATATTATTTGCTTCTTTTCTGTTGTGGTCAAAATGTCTTGCTTCCACAGTGTTTGCTTCATAGCTCAGTGTTTGTTTTTTTTGCCATGTAGCACATTTTATGTTCAATTATTGAAACATGGACACCTGACTCCCATGGTTCCTAGTTCTTTATGATATATTCTTAAGCATATATTATAAATGTGTATTTATTAAAGCATGTGTATAAACGAAAAGAAAGTTTTAATTGGGTGTTATCAACTATAATGGATATAGTTTACCTGAGTACTCGTGAGTGATTGTAGTTCCTAACAGGTGATAATTCTCGATGAAGTTTATCTGGTAGATTTCATGTATACATACACTAATACTATTAGAACCCATGATATGCTACTGAACAGGCTTTCTGTTTTCTCAGTATTGTTTATAGCATCTGTTCCTAATTCCTAAGGCTTATAACAGGTTTTGTCAGTAACTTTTATAGC